ACTTCTGCACCGAGGAGCGTGACGTCGTCGCTGTCGGTGCCAACCGTGAGCCCCTCCGCACCCCCTCCATCTCGACGCCGCAACTCGAGAACAATGGTTCATTCCCATGGGCAAAGGCCTTGGCCATGTCGCCACCTCAGCAGTTCCGTCAGCTCTCAGCCATTCCTGACGACGAGATCTACGAGGACGACATGTTCCCGGGCCCTCCCTACGACGTCAAGCCTGATAGCGCCTCTGCCGTATCTTTTGTGGACTCTGGCTTAGGCTTATCTTTCAAGTCGGTTGACGTCAGCGAACCAAAGTCGATGAACTTCACTCGATCTCGGCCCGTTGCTATCTCTGGCTCGCTCCCTGCCAAGAACTTCAACAGCATGTCGTCCGTCTTCGGTAAGAAGCGCGACATGATCTCGAAGAGCTGGAGTGACCTTTGGGATGAGGAGGATGACGATGCGCAGTTCCTTGCTGAGCTTGAGAACAACTGCCACTCCTTCAGCGCTGAGAAGCCCAAGCCCAAGGCTGTTGTCTCCGAAGCCGGATCTGGCGTCTCGACCCCTCGTGGCTTATCCGAGGTGAAGAACCCTGCTACGGTCCACAACAGCAGGGATCGCTCGCCTAAGAACATCCGCTCTGCGGTTGACCACGTTAGCGCGGCGACTGGATTCGTCTTCGAGGAGCATCGCACCCCAGGACCTGCTCGCAGCCCCAAGCGCTCTGCCGCCGACAAATGGGCTGCCCTCGGTGACCGTCGACGCAGCCCTGCCGTCCAGGCCCAGCAGCAAGTTCAGCAGCAGACTCCGTCAAAGCCAATGAGGTCGCCCAAGTCCACCGAAGCTCCGAACTCCGCCCGGAAGCGGAGCAGGACTGGCACTGGCCGCCGACCGATCCACTGGGGCTCCAGTCACAACGAAAACAACAACCACCCTGTCAGCTCCTGGGAGCAGAAGGTGGACAACTGGTACAAGAGCAAAGATTGGCGCTCTCATACCGATCACGCCCAGATCACGGACGATCTGGGTGACCTTGAGTGGGTGTGGTAAGGCACTATGACCTGCCACTTGTAGTCTTGACAACTTTTCTTATCCCTTTTTTTCTTTGCTTTGATTTCGAGGAATACGTTGTTTCCAGGAAGCAAGAGTCCTACGATTCCCAATCCTCAACCCTCCACGTTCAGATTGTAGCCGTTAGAGATACCATTTCCTATCTCCTCTCCTCTCTACCTTATACCTGTACACTCCACTTCACCGACGACCTCATCATTTCGAGCTTCTATCTTGTCGCTTGGTATCTCTCCTTTGTTACTTCACGGGTGTGTTTGTGGCTAGCTTCTGGGACTCTTGCATTGTTGGCGGGTGAAAGAAACTGTTCTGATGAAGGCTTTCGTCAAACTGCAAATGCTCAAATATGAAAAGGGAAGCAAGCGGCATCTGGGATGGAGTTTATGTTTTTTTCTGTTGGCATCGAGAGGAGCCTATCTCTCCTCTTTCACAATTCGCTTCTTAGGGATGATTAGTTAGTCAAGACTCGTATCCGTCGGAGATTCCTTTAGCATTGGCACCGTTTCGCAAAAAGTCGATCGGTCGCGAAAAGGATCCGGGATTTACCCACTCATTAGTACGTCTTCTGCAACCAGTGACGATTTCCTTGAATCAAAAACCATTGCGGTAGATAGCCTACCGTTTAGGTAAATAAGCTTCTTTCTCAGATTGTATATATACCTATAGATTTAATCCCGTACGTACATTGTAATTAGACCCAACCCCATAGAACGCGCTTCTCGCGATGAAAACTAGTATCACCAAGGATCACCTATGCACCTGTTCAACGTGCAGAGAGATTGATCATTGTACACACACTCAACTCCCCGTCCCATCAATCAATCACACCATCATCCTCCCCTCCCCCGTAGCAAACCCCCCCACCAGTCCAAACTCCCCCTCCACATCCTCAAACCCCTTCCCCTCAACCACCATCTTCGCCACGGCTCTCGCGCACACCGGGATTATCCCCATCCCGCCCCCATTAAACCCACACAACATCCACTGGCCCTCCTTCACACCAGGAACACGGCCAACGTGTGGCATCCCATCGTGCGTCATAGCTTGAATCCCCGTCCAGATACTGTCTGGTTGGGCGGCGCTGTCCTGCCAGCCTAGGAAATTGGTGGACATGTAGGATGTCCAGTGGGAGTAGATGGGGGGAGGGAAGTGCCCCGTGGTGAGGGAGTCGTCGACGGTGTTGTACCATAGGGATTTGTTGTGGGGCTTGGAAGAGGAGGGGTGGGTGTAGAGCCAGGAACCGCCGCCTACGACGATGGAGCTGTCGGGGCGCGGGTTTAGGTAGTCTGTTCCTGTTGGGTGACCGGGTGATGAGGGGGCGAAGGATATGTTGTAGGTGCAAGTCAAGTGCGGGTTTATGGGACGGGAGGGGGTGTGGTGGCTGTTCATTCCTTTGTAGGGGACTATTGTGCCACGGAAGGAGGGGAGGAGGGAGGGCGTGTAGGCGTTTGTTGCGTGGATGAGGGATTTAGTGGTGAGGGTGCCGCGGGGGGTGTGGAGGGTTGTTGTCGTGCTTGCGTTGGAGGATGTAGAGGTGGTTAGGTGCGTAACCGGCGTATTCATCTGCACATTCAAAACCCCCTCCTTCCCACCATCTCCATCTCCATCTTCCCCACTCCTCCCAAACCTCCCCACCAACACCTCAAGCACCCCCGTAACCAACCTATACGGCCAAAAACTCGCCACCTCACACGAAAACGCCCCGACCGCCCCTTTCACACTAGTAACCCCCTCCACATACCTCCCCTCCACCACACTCCTGCTCTTCGTCCACTCCTCCCCCTTCTTCACCGCATCATCAAACACCCTCTTCACCTTTTCAAACTCCTCGCGGTCTTGAAAAACATCAAAGCTACGCCTGAGTTCAAACTCGCATTCTTGAGCTAACCCCTCGTCTTCAACCAGCGCTTTCAACTCGTAGATCACGCGTTGGTGGTAGTCCGCCATCTCCGTCCTCAGCGCGCTATCTCGCATACCCGCTAGCGTCGCCGTCTTAATCTTCGAGTGCCCGCCGTTGCGTGCGGTGGCGCCGCTGCAGAGGTCGCGGGCGTCGAGGAGGACGACGCGCGGCATGGGTTTTCCCGTGGAGAGGTGGCTTTTGTGGGAGGTTTGGAGGATGTGGTATAGGGTTAGTACGCCGGCCATTCCGGAGCCGATTACAGCGATGTCGCAGGTTGGGGGGAGGGAGGGGGTGCTGCGGAGGGTGGCGTAGGGATGCGGGTTTTGGAGCCAGTAGCTGGGCATTGGGTTGGGGACGGGGAGGTAGTCGTGGGGTTGTTTTTCTCCATGAGAAGAGGCGTTGGGGATGGTGCTGTGGGTTGAGGGGGGATTTGGAGTGGCAGGTACGACGACTTTTCTGAGGACCATGTTTGCGAATGGGATGGAGTTGTTGTGATGATTGGAGTAGGATGTGGCAACAACGACTGTTTATACATGCAAGATGTTGCTCAACGGCTTATTTGGGGGCCGTTTCGTTGTGGCTTACTTCGGCGTTCGGGCTAAAGTCAGAGGCGTTAGATGTCGCATCTCACCTTCCATTCCGGTTGGCTGCAGGTGTTCTTATCGGTATTCATACGTCAGTGTACGGGTATAAGCGCATGGTAAATCGGAAGAAGACGACTTTTGACAATCTTTGGATTTGACTTGTATACAGTCGGGGTATCATGGAAAGGAAATGGGTTCTAGCTCCTACACCAAAACGAGTCCGAACGACGGAACTATGGCACACTCGGTGTAGTTGGACTGGTCAGTCCACCTTGACTCTTCCTCCTGTCCTTCTTCTTCTTAGGGGCGGGAGCGATGATGCCCTTTTTACCCTGCGCTTCCAATGTCGTCGGCGTCCCTACCGCCTTTGGTGTGCCTACTGCAGATGGTGCTCTGCTCGGTGGCTGTGTCTCAATCTTCAGCCCTGCAGCAGGTGTAGACTGTGAGGCTTGTGCTGCTTGCTCTTGTGCCTTGTTCCTCGCATTGACAGCGGTCTTGGTGCCCTCGAAGACGAACGCGCCTGGCTCGCCCTTTAGCGGGTTCTCGTCCATGTATTCGTCTCCGTATGCGTTTGTGAGATTCAGCGAGTGCATGAACAGCGCGTCTGAGAACTCGGTGGTGGATGCCAGTGGATCTGTCGCCTGCGTTGTGGCTCCCGCTCCTTGTGACTGCGAGCCCGCTGCGTCTGGGTCCGTTGGCGCCAGTGTCGGACTACCGATTCGACTCGCCGTAGTCGCTGCTTTCGCAGCTTCGTGTGAAGGAGGGAAGTACGAATATCCCGTCGCAGGTGTCCAGTGAGTCATGTTCTTGGAGATCTCAGCCATCTGCTCCATGCGCGTCGCGACGGTAAGCAGTCTACTCTGCACAACGTCCAGCAAACTCGGCGCCATGAGAACCTTTGTATTGTGCGTATACCAGTTGCCCTCGACGAACATGCCGTTCTTCTTGTTGCCATCGTAATCTGTGACCTCGGCCTTGTGTTGGCGCTGGAGAATCCATGGGTGCCCTTCGCCCTGCCCTTCGCCTGCTGTAACGTATTGTATTCCTTGTGGTACACTGTTGAGTCTTTGATTCCATAGCGCCGGGTCATTCATGATTTGTTGGGCATTGGCCGGGTCATGCAGATTGAGGTTAGTGAAGACGGATATGTTGATGCACTCTTCGGCGTCGAACCATGGCGACGAGGTGAAGTACCAGAAGAGGTTGTTTCCGGCATTCAGGTCTTGCCCGGGCAGAGTCGCGATGGTCGAGGGCGCATCGTATTCTTGCTCGTCGGGGGGCGGGAGTGTCGGAGGCATGTTGGCGGTGGGTTTGTGAGTGAAGAGTATCAGGGCTGTCTGGCAGCTCTTGGAGGTTGGTGATGGAGCTACTGGTAGGTAGCACGGGCCTCTCACCTCCGCGTGTTGGCCGCAATCGACTTGCACCGTCTTCTGCATACCACTACCACGACAACTCAACACCATGGATCTCGTACAGACAGTGCGCAAAGAAGGCAGCCGGTAAGTTCGGTCATTTTTGATGCTGAAACGTTAGCTAACAGTACCCAGCGGCGGTCGCGCCGACTTCAAATGGGAAGACGTCAAGAACGATGCGCAACGCGAAAACTACCTGGGCCACTCGCTCATGGCCCCCGTCGGCCGCTGGCAACAAGGACGCGACCTGAACTGGTACGCAAAGGGCGACGAGGAATCCAAAGAAGCCGAAGCTGCGCGCATCAAGGAAGAGAAGCGTAAACTGAAGGAGGCTGAGGAAGACGCCATGCTAGCTGCCATGGGTCTGCCCGTGCCAGTGCGCAATAACGCGAACCTGACGCCACTCGGCCAGAAAGCACATGAGGCAGATGTCAAGGACACGCTAGACGAGAAGGCCAAAGTGGAGGATGATGACGACAAGGCGAAGAGGAGGGAGAAGAAGGAGCGTTCACGGAGACAAAGAGATGACGACGGAGAGCGAAGGAGACGTCATCGATCGCGGAGTCGTTCGCGGGACAGGGAGCGACGCTACAGACATCGAGAACGTTCACGGTCGCGTGAAAGGCGAAGGGATGATGGGCGCGATGACAGGCGCAGACACCGATCACGAAGTCGCGACCATAAGCGACGAGACGATCATACAGAACGCAGGCGAGACCGCGATGTCGATGCGAAGCGGTCGAGGTCACTATCGAGAGACCGGAGACGGCGAAAGGACACGAGAAGCAGGTCACCACACGAGAGGAGTGAGAGGAGGAGGGATTGAGGAGTGTAGCAGATACAGCGAACATATCCTCAAGGCAGTTCTAATCAGACTATGGGCGTTCTTTAGATTTCTATCGGTGTGGTGCCACCCAGTTCAAGCGTTCATGATAGCTCATGTAGCTTTAGCGAAACCTTTACCTTGGACATCCAGACTTCGACCCAAATAAATATCTGGCAGCTCTTCAAACAGCAACCTACTCTGCATGCCGCACAAAGTCATCATACGCACCTGACTACCCCAGTCCAAACCCACATATCCCCACGCTGCACGCCTTTCGGGATCTCCCTCCGACTCGGCAACCTCGGCCGGCTCCCCATAGCCCCCCAAACCCCTCATCATCAGCATGTAACAATGATACACAGTAGCGTCTTCGCTATTGCATCCTCACCGCTGCCATTTGCTTTTCCCTTACCTCGAAATCCTGTTTACATGCCCATCCTTCGTTGTTTGACGAGTTCATCCTGAGCGACCTTGATCCCCATCCATCTACTAACCCCAGTCATCCCATCACCAACCACCATGACCGCAGCACCACCATCCATACCCGACTGGCGCACCCTCGCCGCTTCGAAACGCGAATCCGTGTACGCCAAGATACCGAAAGATTGGCGGCTGCCTTCTTCGCAAACGTCTCAGTACACAGAAGACTCCAGTATATCTGTGCTGGATGTTCCGCGAACATGCGGCATCTTGACCGAGAAAGAGTTGGACATTACTGAAAACTACGATGCCACTGATCTGGTCAAGATGATGGCAGAGGGCCAGTTGACAAGTACAGAAGTGGTCACGGCATTTTGCAAAAGAGCAGCTGTGGCGCAGCAGTGCGTGAGTTGCCTAACAGAGATTATGTTCTCGGAAGCACTCGCCCGAGCTCGAGAATGTGACGCATTCCTCAAAAAAGAAGGAAAAGTCATAGGACCCCTCCACGGCCTCCCAATAAGTCTAAAAGACTCCTTCAACATCCGCGGCGTCCAAGCAACCCTCGGCTACATATCCTTCCTCGCGCACCCCCCCTCCGCCTCAAACTCCTCTTTGGTAACCCTCCTACACACCCTCGGCGCAGTCTTCTACGTGAAAACCAACCTCCCTCAAACCATGATGACAGCAGATTCCCACAACAACATCTTCGGCCGCACACTAAACCCGCTCAAACTCAGCCACACAGCCGGCGGTTCCACAGGCGGCGAGGGCGCCCTCCTCGCTATGAAAGGCAGCGTCCTAGGCGTAGCAACCGATGTCGCAGGCTCAAACCGCATCCCCGCGATATGCTGCGGCGGCTCGTCTTTGAAGCCAACAGCAGGGAGGGTGCCGTTTGCAGGTGGTGTCGCAGTCGGTCGGCTGGGTAGTCCAGGGTCTGTTCCCGTGGTTATAGGACCGTGTGGCCGTTCTGTCCGCGACTACGCACTTTTTTTACGGGTTGTGGGAGACGCGAAACCGTATCTGTACGATGAAAACTGCCTCAATGTCCCGTGGCGCCGTGTCCAGCCTTCCAGCAAACCACTGAGGTTCGGGCTGGTGAGGGGGTGTAAAGAACGACCGCTCCACCCACCCATCGCTCGCGCACTGCATACCACGGCGATGAAACTCAAAGCGCAAGGCCACGAGATCGTCCTCCTCGATGACAAGATACCAGATCTCTACCAAACCGCCCTGCTAGCATGGAAATTCTTCATGCTGGATCCGAAGAAAACGCCACTGCAGTATATCAAAGATGGCGGGGAGCCACCCGTCCCCTCGCTATCAACATGCTCGTTCCCCGAGTTGAGAGACTGGGTGCCTAGTCTGGATGAGCTGTGGGATTTGAATGTGCAGAAGGCGGGGGTTGTCAAGAAGTGGCATGCGCTGATGGTTGGTGATATTGGCGGTGAGGGCGAGAAAGCACTAGACGCCATCCTCATGCCGGGGTACCAGGGTGTCGCGCCAAAACATGACACCTATGGCTTGCCGATCTACACGGTCGTAGTCAATTTGTTGAATTGGCCGAGTGGGGTGCTGGCGGCTGGGAAAGCGGAGAAGGGGGCTGATAAGGAGTTTTTGAAGGAGGGCGTGGCGTTTGAACCGCCTTGTAAGTGCTACTTTGCGTATCAGGCGAATGTTGGAGGCTAACGTGTTGCAGATGATGCGGATGAATGCGAGGGTTTACCGACGCATGTCCAGGTTGTGGGGAAGAGTATGATGGATGAGGAGTTGGTGGAGGTTCTGAAGGTTGTGGAAGGTGTGCTGAAGGCGTAGCATTCATGATGGTACTATGGTTATGTTTCATATGAGCATGTCCTGGTAAGTCTTCTTCAGGGATACAGTGTGAGATAGAAGTTACATTCATGATTTGATTCATGTAGACTTGATCATTCACCCCCAGTAACTTATCTTCCGTATCTCCCATCGCAAGACTACATGATTGTCAGGAACTACGCCTTTGATAATCAAGTGACCCACACTGTACGCCAATCACTACCATCACTTCCTGCCTACCAGTAGTAGTCCACCTTGGGAATAGCTTCTGGCCGAGGCGCACCTCTTGACGAGCCTGAACGACTGCGACCGCGACTACCTCCTCGTGACTGACTGCCTGCCCATCCAAGAGACCTGCTTCCTGCGCCAAACTGATCACGACCGTCCATCTGACCACGTCCACGAGAGCCGAAATCCGAGTAGCCATCATACTGCGGGATAGTCTTCGGCTGTGCTGGCTTTGGTGCGAGAGCAGTCGCAAGGGGTACAGGTACGCCGCCGTCTCCAGTTGCTTCATGATCGCTCCAGCCCTCGGCATCGTCCTTGACCCTCTGTTCGGCATCCTCGAGAGCGGCCTGAAGTTTAGCACTCTTCTCGTTCTCTCGTATATCGTCCAATTCCGGGGAACCGCGAAGGGTAGCCTCCTTCACGCAGATGGCTAGCATAGCCCACACGGTATATACAGCGTCGTTGCCGGCGTTGTGAAGAAACCACGCGGGGACATTGAAGGCGTTCATGATCCGGCCTAAACTGGTGGGCTGCTGCTCCCGACGCCAGACTTTGTACATGGTCGCGGTGTCCATGGCCTCGAGGATGTTCTCTACCTTCATTGGGTCGTATCCAAGCTGCTGGAGATAGCGTACATCGCCAAGAGTGTCGTGACCGAGGAAGACAATGTTACGTTTCTCAGTGGGATCAAAGTAGCTGAGGAAGTCATCGCCATTTTCAGCTGCGAAGGGTGCGTGGAAACAGGCGGCGACGTGACTCGCAGCTTCTTTGAGTGATATAAAGGTCGAGTGGCCGAACTTGAAGCTATCAGGATGTCCAGCAACGAACTCGGAATTGACCAGGTGACGATGTTCCTTGATGCGAAAGTGGCGAGCGTGAATCTTCTCTCTCCAGGCCTCGCCGTCCTTGCCAGGCGGAACACCAACCAGCTCGCGTGTATCCAAGGTGGCGACACCAACTTCAGTGATCTTGTGATGGGCCCTCTCGTACGACTCAACATCAACACAGACGAAGACGACAGACTGATCGAAAGAGAATGGAGCTGGCTGGGATGGATCGACTGCCGGAGACAAGGTGGGCGATGATGGATCCTGAATTGAATCGCGGAGACCGAGATACCTGGACGCGCGTTTGAACTGATCCGTCATTGACTTGTTCTTGCCCAGTCGCTCTTGCTGCTTCTTTGCTTTGTTCGCCTTGTTCTTCGCCTTCTGCGCTTCAGCCAGGTTCTCCATCAGTTGCTTGAAGTCCTCTAGAGTGGGTTGTTCAAGCGGTGGGTGTGAAGACTCGCCTGCCGCGCGGAAGTGCTCGTTCGGGGCGTTCTCGGCCATGCTATCGACGTCTTCGCGCGAATGTGAGCGTCCAAGGTATCGAGGTAAGCAGCGAGGATGATCAGGGAATTGCACGAGTAGGCCCTAAAAATTACTGTTAGTCTAAAAGTTCAGGCATTACGTATGAGCGGGCAATGTTACCTCCTCGCGCTGCTGGTCGCTGATTCTCAAAGAGAGATTGAGGTGCTTGTTGATCTCACCAAGCAAGGCTAACACTTGACTCTCACGAACGAGTACAAAGGGTTTGGAGGTCTCTTCGATATCCCAGACGTAGTACCTGGTGAGGTTAGCAAGTGATTGGTGAGAGTCGTCGCGATGCGGTGATATCCTTCAGAGTAATCATGGAGGTGAACTTACAGGTCCCACTCTCGCTGCCAAAACTTTCCTTGGTCGAAGAAGGCAGATGCAATGTCTTGCATATGACTCTTATCGCAGTACTTGTAAGGGTACTTGGACAGGGCCTGGATGGGTGTGAAGTGATGGCGAGGTGAGGCTATGTCGCCACGTTGCAGATCGGTAGCCGGAAGACCAGCGGCACCGGTTTGAGGAGCTGGGGCTGAGGCGGTGGATAGGCGCATCGAGTCCAGGTTCGGGTTGAAGGAGCTATCGGCGTCTTTGACCCAGACGTATCGGCGCTCGGTGTTCTCGACAGCAGGCGGTGTCTTTATGGATGTATCGATCTTACTGGTTGAGTCTTGTTTGCTAGCAGGCGCGTTGGGCGGCGCGTTCTCGAGCGATACACCGCCAGTGGAGTCGTTGTAGCTGGCATGGTCAGGTTTGGGTTCTGGGTTGGGCTCAGGTTGTGGAGACACTGGGCGGTCAGGAAGAGCATCAAGGTCTGTTTGAACGGACCTCTGAAGACGCTGTAGCCGTGACGAAGCCATGGTGGGTGTTTGACGAATGGAACTGGTGGAGATTGTTTGCGATAGAAAGCGCGAAGGTATATGCGGGGATCGCGCTTGGACAGACGGATGAGGGAGGAGCAAACGGCAGGCGCGGTGAGCGAGAGCCTCACCCAGACCTCAAAGAGAGGAACAAGAGTAAAATGAGTCATGCGACATGATGACTTGAAAGAGAGTCTGACATGATTTGACAGTGGTCGTTGCGAAGGAAATGTATCAATGGAAGGCGCATGGTGTAGACACGAGGACGCATGCTCCAATGTGCACTATCACGAAAAATGCATCTCCTACTACCTGTAGAATGTACATACCGACTTAGAGCAGGAAGCGGTTGTGATGCATCCAGCTTACATATGCCGATGCTTGCTTATTCGACGGTACAAGGAGTCGTCATGCGCAGAGAGACTTAGGGGTAGATGGAGTGTCAAAGCCTTCTCAGGCCCAGAGTCAGTAAGACACATGTTCTGGCTGCTAAGGCATAACGCACAGAAGTGAATGACGATACAGTGCTAAGCACAGATGAGTCCTGGAGGTTGCGGGGCGGGCGGGAGTTGCGAGCCGGCAGCTGGGCAAACTCGCAAGCGCATGGGCGTTCCTGAGAGATCGACAAGAGGCGCGCCCAAAGCGGCTAGCACGAACCTCCCTCCGCGAACCTCAGTGCGACCAGCTCCCATCAGCCGCCCTATCTTGTCAGCGCATATCGCAACTCGCGCCCTCACGATCGCGCTGATTCTCCTCAATACTCTAGTTGACGCGTGGCTGGAGAGTCTGACGCGTGCGTCGCAACCCTCCATCTACTCTGCCTCCCCGCGATGCGCCATGTCTGAAGCCGACGATGCGCCAGAAATGGCCCAACCCGCCCCGAACCCGGACGCCCAGACGACGGTCAACGACTTCCTCGACTACACCGAATTCTTTCCGTCGGACCTGGTGCGCTCGCTGACGCTGATTGCCGACCTCGACTCGACCTACTCGGACGCCGTCCAGCAGGTCCACGAGCTGACGGTCCAGTATGGCAAGCTGCCCGCCCTCCCCGAGCAAGAGCGCCCCGACCCGGTATTACTACGCAAGAACATCGCCCAGCATCTTCAAAAGGCCATCAATCAGCGAGAGTTTGCATACACAGAAGCGTCGCGGCTGTATGAGGTCACTGTCCGCCACTGCCAGCGCTCATCAGTCATCAAGCGGAAACTCCAAGCCCAGCCACAGCCGCCCTCACGCGACCCGACGCCCCCGCCAGTCTCTCCCAGCGCCCACCGACCCGTAAACCGCGACTACATCCGCCCCGCCCATCTGCGCCTTACCTTCGATGGCGGCCGACATGGCGCCAACACCTCACGACCCCGAGACAGGCACCGGAAGACCGCCGTTCCTCTGCCACGTGGACGTGGGCGCCGCGGTGCAACATACTCGTCAGACTCAGATGGTGGTTCAGGCATCGATGTGGCTTCGCCCAGGAAGCGCAAGGACAACCGGGACAGACATTCAAGGGCGACTGGGGGCAGATCGCGCGCTGCTGGCGTACTCGGTACCAACGTGCACAGCTCCATCGCCGGCATATCTACCAGCAATGCGCTCGCACAATTGGCCCCACCACCAGCCGACGCGAAACCCGGCAGCAAATGGGCGCCCTGGAAGAAGTTGACCGAATACGAAATGGCCGTCCTGCGCAAGCAGATGAAGAAGAACGCTGTATGGACTCCTAGTCAGACCATGATGATTCGCGAGCTTGAGAAGAAGCATCGTACAGAGGCCGATTACGAGAGGGAGAAGGCTCGCTGCGAGGCGACAGGCGAGCACTTCCTGGACGAGGAGCCCGAGACTTTGCAACAGATCATGACAGCCTCCGGTCTGGGGCTATTGGCACCGCATGGCCCGCAGGCAGCAAATCCACCCCCGCCCATCGAGTCTGTCGAGGAAGATTCCAGGGAAGAATCCGGTCCAGTCAGCATCCGCCTCAAGCCTGTCGCGGCAAAAGAAGGCAGAAAGCTCGACCGCATGTCACAGCGCCAAAAGGCTATGCACGACGCCCAGGAGCTCATTGCCACTTCTGAGAAGGTAAAAGAAGCTGCTAAGGAGCTTACGGAGCTCAACTTCAGCTCTAGTCTTGCAACTGCGAATCAGAAGAAGAAAACTCCGCTCAGGCTATCCAACAAGCGGAAGCGCGATGCATCCCCTCCACCCACAACCGACGGCGCCATCGAGACCACCAGAGAAGCATCGGTAGCAACTCAAGACAGCGCGTCAAGGCCGCCAGAACCCAAGCGCGCACGTCTGCAGCTCATCGCTCCAGCACCAAGCTCGGTCGCCTCCCCGATACCGACCCCCAACTCGACCGTGTCCACCCCTCGCGATCGGACGGCCTCTGTTGTGCCCTCTCCAAGAGTAAGCACACCGGTACCAGTCCCAGAGCCTGCAAAGCCATCGACGAATGGGAATACCGTGCAAGTGCCGCTTGCGCCAGCAGGTCCAAGCACACCGAAAGTCAACAAGGCCGTTTCGAAAGAGGCAAGTCCTGAGCTCACACCCATTACAACTTCACCGGTGCCACCAGAGGAATCGCCTGCTGTGCCCCAAGCTCAGCAATCACCAGTACCTGTCAAAGCCCCAACTCCTCCAGCTCCAGTCTCAGTCTCAGCACCAACAGCAGCTTCGACCAGGCCCAAACGCGAATCCGTTGCTCCGAAAGCTCCCACTCCGCCCGTGGCCACTCTCCCGCCCACCAAGTCCTCAAAGACACCTACACCCGTGCCTGAGCCCCGCCCAGAGACACCTGCAGCACCGACCCTCCGCCCTCGCTCTGCACGCGGCCACGTCCCTACACCCAAGGCGCAAAGCGAAGAGCCCAAGCCGAACGAAGAAGGTAGGATTACTCGCGAAACCCGTCGTCATAGTGTCTTTAGCCAACCCGCAACCACGCTCACAGTACCTGCACCCCCACCCCCACCTACCCGCACTAGTAGCCGGCGGAAGCCTCCTCCAAAGGGTGAAGTCACGAACGCAGAAGATGGCCAAAAGACAGTCACAAACGTCAAGCGCGCTCAAGGCAGCAAGAACAAGAGGAAGAAAAAGGCAGAGGAAGAGGCGGAGCAGGCCGACGACATCGATCCCAACGAGCCCCGATACTGTATCTGCGACGATGTTAGTTACGGGCAGATGATATCGTGTGATAATAACGTAAGCTCCCCCCTTTATCCCACAAAACTCCTCCCCCACATTTGTTGTTGTCGAAACTATCGAAACTAACAAACATCCCCCCCTAGTGCGATAAGGAGTGGTTCCATCTCCCCTGCATGGACATGACCGAAGACGACATCCCTTCCCGCCGCGCCAAATGGTACTGTCCAGACTGTCGCGTTACTCTGGGCACAGATGCTTATGGAAACCCGTTGGTTCCGCCTCCGCTGCCGGGTCGCCGCGGTAATCGGTAGGTTCTTCACCCTTTTCTGTCCAAAGGCCCCGACGTTAAGATGTTAATGTTTGTTTGAGGGGTTGGAGTACTTAGTATGGTTGATAGGTCGTCGGCTTGAAAGGAAGGAAGGATAGGATAGGATATCGGTGTCCAGAGGATGGGTCTGGGGTTTGGTGGGCGGTGGCGTTGGGGATGGGATGGGATGGGATGGGATGGTATGGATTGGTATGGTATGGGATGGTATGGTATTCTTTCCCCCAAGGGAGGGCGAAGCTGTATCAAACATAGGGTTCTGGGTGTTCGCTGGTATTCCTTTGTTTTACTGGCATGGTGTCTGGAGTTGACAGCCGTATTTTGTCTACGGACAGCTGTCTCTTGGGTATAGATATACCCATCTAGTTTATCGTATCACCATGCATCTTTGGAATGGAAAGGGCTTTATGGGCCTGTTGTTTCTTTTTGATGAGGGGTGTGTTTGATGGCGGGGGACTGACGGGTTCTCGTGCGTTGTGTTTGTCCTGCTGCTTCCTAGATTGGAGGTGTGCTGGGTACTGCGCACGGATGGTGGCGATGACGCGTGTGTTGATAGGGAAGGTGCACTCATGAACACTCAACCTCCAAATCGATTCACTTCAAGTCACTCTTCTCACCTTTACAATGGGCTGCTATGATGCATTCACCTGCAGTCCTCGCTGCCCGCGGAAACGTAGACAATGCAGGTCAGGTCGTTCCTGCCGTACCCCCCTTCCTCCTACTTCTACCTGACCACCGCAAAAGCTCCCTGACTCTCCACTGAACCACATTTCGTGACACTCAACTACCGCACCACAGTCACCCGATCGACGTTGACCCGTCATCCCCCGATCATGACGTCTGAAAGCGCACTGCTGCAGCTGGGTGGGTGGGGGAGGCGGAGGGGAGGTGGAGGGGAGGAGGTGGGGTGGAGGTGGAAGAAAATGGTCCCTGGTAGTCATTCGCTATATGAGCTTCTTTCCAAAAGTCGAACCCATTCACTTCAAGTCACTATTTTTGCCTTCACAATGGACTGCTATACATTCAACTGCAGTTCTCGCCACCTGTAAAGTATGGCCGTTGCTTACCTGCCTCCTTCCTCCTACGTAAACCACCGCAGGATCTCTCTAACGCTTAACTGTACCTTACTTTTCAACAATTAACCATCGCGCCACAGCCACTCGATCGACGACGGCTCGTCATTCCGAAATGTCATCTGAAAGCGCACTGCTGCAACTCCCGGAGGACATCTTCCACGACATAATTGTCAATTATGTACACACTGTTCGTGTCCACGAAGCTTCGGCTACTCGTGCAGTTTGTAGTAAGATATACATCGGCATCATGATATCAATCTGTATACGCTAACGTTTTGTAGAGGTGTTCGACCAAAAGATCCGCTACCAAATCGCCAATCATTTGCCTTTTGTCTACTTCGACTATGAATTCGAATCTTTTCAGGAAGATTCCAGAGATTGCGAAGCTGATAAGAAAGTTCTACATCACATGCTCCCGGAAATCCTACAAAGCACCGTTCGAAAAGCCTTTAACGATCCGCTTGTCACCTCTATTGAGGCACGCGCTGAAGCGGTCCTCAAGATCGAAGGCCGTCCCTACGATGAGAAGACCAAAGCTCAATACGTCGACTACATCTTGCAGTATCTGACCCGAGGAGGCAAGATAGCAGCTATCGATCGGGCACTTCGCTCGCCCAGCGACTATCCGCTTTCTAGTTCCACAGAACGGGCCGACCTAGTTGGCGCTGCCGCTGTAGGTAGCCTGGCGGTGGTGAAGGATCTTCTCGAGGAGAACGAATCAGACTGGCCCTCATGGCCATACTTCCGACAGCATGCGACCAACGACAACGTCTACATAGATCCTCTTCGAGCAGCAGCGTCTAATGGACACATCGAAGTCGTACGGCATCTACTCAAGGCGCTTAAAGACTTCGGAGGTGCAGAAAAGTGGACCGACACTTTCAAGCACAGATTCCAATGCATCCTTACCGCGGCTATCCAGTCCAAGCACCGCCAAACTATCCTTGCGTTGGCAGTAGTCGCCAGGAAGAATGGAGTCTGTGACTCCAGCTTGACTCACAGCACGGGTCTAACCTGTGCTGAAGAATGGGTCAGGACTGCTGTCAAGACCGGCTGCATGGATACTTTTCAAACAACTATGGCGGTAGTTGGGAGTACTACCCCCATATCCGCGAAGAACCTTGTGGCATATGCGATGCTCTTCGCGTGCGAATACGGCCAAGTGGATATCCTTCGTCATCTCATCGCCCATAACCCCACCTGCTTTCAGCGGGAGGGTCCCGTAGCGGGTTCGGACATAGCCCGTCGGTACAAGACTAGAGTCGAACAGACTTTGGGCCTATCATGCATGCAAACAGCAGCCCAGTACCTCCAACGACGCATCATCGATGTACTCCTCGAACACGGCGTTTCCATCAACGCAGGCTCTCCAATCATACGCGCCATCGAGTTCGAAAACATATCTATTGTTAAGTACATGCTCGACCACGGCGCGGAGTACAATCGGCATATACATAAGGAATGTCTTATGCAGCTGGGTCATGGAGCCAATAGAAGCTTGAGCGAGTTCAAGGAGACCGACATGTTGCCTGTTGTTCTCTATCTCGTGGCTAAACATATGGGGAAGCCACGATACTCGTTTCGGAAGAGCGGGGTGGAACAACGCCTTATGAGCTTTGTTGAAGACATTGAGGGTAGCGGGTTTTGGAGGGGAAAGGTTGAGGCGATACTGGGGAAGGAGATATTCAATGAGCTGAGATGCGTGGAGTATCAAAGGTTCGTCATGAATGACTCGTGGGAGTGCTATCGGCGGAGAGTATAGATGGTGTTTGCGAGACCATGTTCAGCGTTGATAAGCAGGTATGGATGTATTGCGAGATGATGAGAAGGAACCTATGTCCATGCTTGGAATATATAATCATCCACGGAAAGAAAAGTTGTAATCTTTCAGGGCTTCGATGTTGTGGGTTTACAGTCGTTAGTGATGCTGTCCATTTACTGATGAGATGACGAGGATGCAACATTGAAGATCGCAAGTTCTAGATTGCAAAGCCGCAGGCAGAGCAATGCCTTCTGTCAGCCCAGACCGCGGCTCTTTCGTGCCTATTCGTTGCCAGAAACCCCTGAAGTGCAGCCTGCGAGCCAAAAAGAGGCGTTTTCCAAGAAACAAATAACGAATGTTCAAGGAAGAGATGAAAAAGGTGCAGCTGAAGTCGAGAATGTCCCGAGGTCGTGACCCCACATTCCAATTCGTTCTTAGCGCCTGCTAGCACAACCTCATTGGCGCATCAATGATCCCCGGGCCTCGTCATCCTCCGCGGGATTCGTGCTGCTAACACCTCACTCATCAATATTGCTCAGCCACAACGCCTTGATGTTCAATCCGTATCTGCCGCAACGCCGTTGTGCCGACACATCATGACATGCGACGATTGGCCGTCGGGCCTCCCGTGCCTGGAGACCGGATGATGACCGGTGGGCGGAAATCGTCAGCTACACCCTGTTCCCACGTTTGCGCATTCGCGCAGTGGGTCTGACTGCTTGTGACAGCCGTCAGGCATCCTTCAAGACTGCGATGCCTTCTACAACGTTGCCTTCTCCTTTTGCTCACACCCTTCCTTACTCTGTCAACTGCGAACACGAGCATTCCCCTCGGACGCCTCTAACAACTTTGCGCAATGTTCGCCATGGCATCCTGTAGCCATGCGCAAGCCGGCCTACCAAGATTGAGCACAACCAAGCGAATATGTAGAAGGGATTCGCTGTCTTCTTCCAGGACCCGTGATTCGGGCTACAATAGCGACCCTGATTCTCTCTCACCCTTGGATGCGGGAACGTTGGATCAGGGTATTGCCTACTACAATTTCTAGCGGGAGCTCAGATCGCTAACGGCGCAGCAGACATATTTTTCGGACCTCCTCCCTGTGTGCCGAGCATTCTTGTCAACAACAAGGCTACCTTTCTCAAGAGATGCATCGTCGATAGGCCATGGTTGGTTGAACAGAGCAACATCACCAGCAACCCTGCAGAAGTCGTCACCTACCAGACATTCCTCGACACCACGCCTCCGGAAGCTCCAAAAATAGGATCTGTCAAGAGTCTTATTGATTGTGCACGTAAGGACAGTCCTAAAGACAGGCCAGCATCGGAAGACGAAGATATAGAGAGGTGGATCGACGACAATCTTCCATCCGCCAAGCGTCCCAGAGAAAGAGTAACATCCATCGTCTCCATCTCATCCACCAGCTCTTGCGACATGCATACCAACACGGACGTCAGTGAAGACGAAATGGAGAATGAAGTTCGGCCAATACAACCACCTCCAGCACCCACGCAGAAAATCATCGAGCTCATCCTGCGCAAGGTCGAAATCAACCTCCGTAATGCAGCTTACAAGCAATGTACCGGACGTAGCGCCGCGCACAGCCAAGCCAGGTCCACGCTGCCTTCTGGCCAGAGTAGCCGCAAGACGTCTGTGAGCTCAGGTTCAAAGCGCAAGTCCCGTCTGGAGGGTAGCCCACCGCCAGAAGACGATGACGAAGACGGCTCAAGCAAGCGACGTCGTGGATCAACGACCACTACCGATGAGTCCGAGACCGGTGCGAGGTTCGCATGTCCTTTTTACAAACACGACCCGGATCGGCATCGCAACAGGAGAACCTGTCCCGGGCCTGGCTGGCCCACAGTTCATCGGATGAAAGAGCATCTCTACCGGTCACATTCCCAACCGATATTCTGTCCAATCTGCTACGCGACCTTCAAGTCAGACAAGGAACAATCGAGTCACGTGCGTCTGCAGCAATGCGAGAGATCACTGCCGCAGCAGATCGAAGGGATCGACCGCGAAACTGTGTGGACGCTGAGGAAGCGCACCACTGCGCTGAGACTAGAGGAAGACAAATGGAGAGATGTATATCAGGTTCTCTTCCCAGACGTATCTGCCGCTGAGATACCCAGTCCCTGTAAGCCATCGCGCCACACTGGATCTTTAACCTACTAATAAATATCAGTCTACGATTGCGACTCGCCTAGCGAAACTTCGCGACGTTTCCGCAGAGACCTTCTGCGCCGCGTACAAGAAGAGCTACTCATGGAATCCGGACAAGTCCCCACTCCAATCGAGCAACAGCTCCTGCAGCGCGTGGCCCAAATAGTGCGCCGTTGCGAGCACGATCTACTGAACCAAGCGCAGCCGCCATCTTCCCCACCCTCCAACCCAGACCGACGTGCAAGTGCCAGCTCTATAAATAGCTCGTACCAAGCCACGCCCCTACCCGCAGCCACTCCGGCCTTCCAGAGGCCATCCCTAGCTGTACCAACGAACGTGACTGGCCGGGAACGCAGATATGATTCTCTTGTTGAAGCAGATGCAGCGCCGTATATACCAGAACCTACAATGGAGTTTGGTGATGTGGTCTGGAATGATCCGCCGTATGTTTTTGGCACGGGGATCAATTGGGAGGCTGTCTTTCCGCCTGCGCCTGAGACGCAGTATCTAGGGAGTGATGAGGTGGCTACGAATTTCTCGGTGCCGATGTGGACGTAGGCGGTATCATTGCATAGGGGTAGAGAAGATGTTTCTGGAGTGAACAGGATGGATGCCTCGGGACATTTGGTGGATTCAAGGATTTCGTAGGTACAGCTGCGAAATATACAATCGTCTCTCCATAATGGTGTTGCTCGATAACTCATGACAAGGTAGACGGGACTTTAGTACCTAGAAATGCACGTGTAAGTTTCGGCATGCCAAGCGATTGCTGTTGCGACGTCATGAACCAAAAAATCATAGCGCGGCCCGAGTCAGGTGTCGCGTCTTTCGTCTCGCACAGGGTCTATACAAACTCTCATCGCGCCACCATGGCACCCAGAATGCGCATACCCACTGTCGAATTCCGATCGCTCCTTCTACCGCCCGTACGAATTCCGATACGCGCCCTCCATACACTGTACCGCCCGCAATGCGCCCCTCACGTACCGCGCCCCGCCTGTCCTACCCGGCGCCTCGAGCAGCGCCGCGCGCTCAACCTCTACAAAACGGCCAAGGCCAAGACGGTCCTCGGACAGCACAAAGTTCTCAACTTTACCTCGTGGGAGATTGACTTTCTGGCGCCACTGCGAAGTGTAGAGCACCGAGTCAAATTATGGCAGACAGACAAGAAGGCTAAAAAGCTGTCCGTAATAGCGGAGAGCGCCTCCTTCCAAGAACTCCTCACACAACATGTCGGCCCCGGGAAAATGCTTTACTGCCTCGGCGAGGTCAAGAAAGGAATGGCAAAGACACACATCGACGACCCAGAGCGGCCCATACCCGAAGAGTTGAAGGACTTCGCCATCCACAACGCTCACACATACCGAGCCCCGAAGACCGTGGCGCAAAAAGGCAAACAAATAGGCGGACTGAAAAACATCATCCTCAACGAGTCCAGCCCCGTCGAATACTTCAGAATGTGCATGGACCGCGCCTACCAGTTCATCGAAGCCGGGCACGCAGTCGAATTCCGGCTGCGCCTGCAAGGAAAGATGCTCCTGAAAGAAGAGCGCATCAAGCCCGCAGGACCAGAGCGCTGGCTATGGATGCACACGCACTTCCCGCACCTGCGCCCCGAAATCATCATGAAGAGCATGCCAGAAGACACCCGCTACCTCATCAACCCCGTGTCCGACGGCCGCCTCGTCCAATGGGTCGCTGTCGCAGGCCACAAAGCGGAACCAGCCATCAACCTCGACAAACGCCTCTTCCGCATCAAGGACTCTGTGACCTCATCCATCAAATCGGGGAACCAGGCCATGTTGCCTAGGATTATGCGGCAGCAGCTGCGCAATCAGGGGTTGGAGGATTATAGTATTAATACGGGGTTGCCGAGGGAGCAGGCGAGGGCGAAGCATGGGAAGGGCGGGAAGAGGGTACTGAGTGGGGAGGAGAAGAAGTGGCTTAAGAGGGATGAGGAGACGGATGGGTTTTTGGTTCCCGATCCGGATGCCGAGTTGCCGATTCGGAGGTTGGATGATCGGAGGGATAAGAGGGGAGAGGGGCAGAGGTGGGAGCAGAGGGGGTATATTGGGAATAAGAGATCGTCCTAAGGATTAGGGGGTGGGAGATTTTGGGATGGGGGAGAGGGCGTATGGGAGGTTGTGGACGTGTTCCAATGTACTATAACAGCTTTGGGAAGGGGGAGATTATCGCAGTCCTCAAAGTTTACAACAGTACTACTTTGCAGAATTGTGGTTATGTAGAAGTACTCGCCTCTGTGTAAAACACACCATAGTACTGCGATAATCTAGAGGCGACCTAGAGACGACAAGCTAACTACGTCTCCCGCGTTTTATATAATTCATACGCGAGAAGATACTCTACAAAAGAGAGAAGTATCGCATCTCTATCCTCTGTGTAGAATATACCATCAAGCTATTAGCAGAAGATAAAATTAGGACTTCTGGCTGTGTAGTGGCACAAAAGCAATATACGCGTTTCGAATCTCCAACAATTAGTTCGTTTCACTAGACTCCCGCGTACGACGATGCTTGATGTTGGTGTTGGTGACGGCTTGGCAGGCAACGTTGGGCAGTGACCACATCTCTGGGCCGGACATGGATACGGCCGATCATGTTTATCCACCCAAGCCACTCCTTATTCCGCGACCGTCCGTTGCACATGCATGCGTGCTAGTGAACGACCTGCCGCACGAATAATGCCGCGACCCTGATTTCTCCCGCCCACTCCATCAATCCCCCAACTATCATAATCCTGAGTCCTCCCCCGCCGCTCGTCATCGCCGCCGCTGCCACCGACGCCGAGGCCGCGTTCCACATCCCAGTCAATCG